ATGGGCCAGGGAACCCGTTCCTGTGCTGTACAGTTCTAGGTTCTATGTTCTATAAAAGCAAGCCTGAATGTTTAGGAGAAGGGAATCAGTAGTTTGGATGAGAGGTATGAGTATTGAGTAGCTTGTTAAAGGAAAAATGTGAGGGAATTAGAGATAAAAGTTTAGGCGCTAAAAGCTTAGTGAATGCACAGGCAAGATCCAGACAGCCAGAGTGAGGGAGGGAGGTTGAGTCAGACTTCACACTTAAAATAAACAGGTTTTTTAACTCTCACAGTCATTACATGATGAAGAGAAGACATTTCAATCTGGGTTGGTGAAAGGTTGGAGGGGAGGGGGGAGGAGGGAAAAAAAGGCAAAACCAACTGTCACCCTATGGGTTCTGCTGCTTTTTAATTGAATGAATGGATCAATATTAAAAAGCATCAGAAGAAGATTTCCCCAGAATCTTCAACTACATTAGCTATATTTCCATTGTATCAGGACTCATCTAATTAGCTGATCACCCAAGAAATCTTGCCATTGTTTCAATGTTGATATATATTGATTTTTGACCAACTTGCTATGTCCACATGCCATGCACTACCACACCCATCATCTTTATTCCAGAATGCAGTCAGGAATTCAGTACAATTGGAACCTTCAGTGATTTGTGGGGAATCCGGCTGATAGTGCCTCATTGGGGTCATTGTTCCAGTTTTCTCAGCCAGATTTGGAATAGTAGCGCCCAAGCTTGTGTTTTCACAAGTTACACAGGAACATAACCATAAATTAAAGCTACACTGTTAAACATGGCCCTTTCTGGACCTCCAGGCTCTCCAATGTTAACACAAAGCAATAACACAAAAGGGGACTGAACTGTCTGGCCTTTAATGGCCAAAATCTGGGCATCTTTGCTGCTAAAAGTTTTACTTAAGAAATTCATGGGGTGGCTTCTGGCTACGAAGATGATTGCAGAACATAAGATTTAGAGGCACTCCACTTACACCATTTTCATCAATTTCAATCTGAGTAATGTTGGCATGTTGAATAAGTTGAAAGCTGCGGGTCCAAGCTTAGAAAGAAGTACAAGATTTGCCACAGAGGGCATAATAGATTTAAAACTTATAATTCTATTCCTTCCTTTTTGGAAAAAAAAAGAGTATAGCAAGGTTGTCAACTGTGTAATATTTTATCAACCATAAGGGATGATTTCAAAATGTTTTAATAATTCTGAAAATGTCACAAAAACTTCTTTTTTTATGAGCGGTTTTGATTTTTGCACTTATCATGTTAAGCAATTAGTTAACAGAGGGATGAGATCATGGGTGCCTTTACATAGTACCATTTGAGGTTATCCAATGAGCAAAGGAGAAGATCAGAAAATAGGGACAAGAGTCCACGCCAGTCCTTAATTATATTCCATCATTCAATTAGATTGCTATCCAATCAATCATTGCTAATCTATATCTTAACTTCATCCACCCGGTACAATGGACATTTATCTCAATTGTTGGTTAACATTGAAAGCTGGAAACATTAAATTGTCAGACAGGACCAAATAGGGAGAGTCTACTCTGAAGTACACTGACTCAAGGTGAAAATGTCTAGAGAAGGAATCAATCTCACTAAGCACAGCACTCCAAAATCCCCAGTCAAGGGTCTAGACTGAGATATTAGCGAGAATGCCTGGTACTATGAAAAGGCCCCATAATTTTGAAAACTAGACACAAACTTCCTTTGCACAAAAGGGAGAAACCAGAAAGCCACAAGCCAATCAGTTTGATATCAATTGTGAGGAAGTTATTGGAATCTGCTGGTGACAGAATGACCAAGTCTTGGATTAACTGATCAGAGACAGATTTGTGAAGGGTACTAAGGTTTCATCAATCTAGTTACATTTTTTGAGGAACGCACTGGTACATGGATAATAGCACTTAATAATGTTCTGTGAAAGAGAATAGCTGCGAAAATGAGATGGTGCACAAACCTTAGTACTTAGATGGGCAATTATTTGGAGGTAGGAGATGAGAAAGTGCGATAACAGGATTGTTCACCGACACTGACAACCGGTATACTCCGCAGATCAGTTCTCGGATCTCAGCACCAGACAAGATATTATTTGATAGTAAGCATCAAAAGGGACAAGTCATGCCAGGAGAGCTCAAAGCTGTGGTGCACTCCCCTTGCTGTATGTAGGAAGATAGGCACATTTCCTGTGCCCAGGAGTAGCAAATATGCAGGAAGCATCTCCAACTACAACTCTTGGAAGCCTAGGTTTCAAGCTGGAGCAGCTGGTGGTGACACTATGGGGCATCTGCAAAGCTGAGAAAATTGTGAAAAGCTTGCAGGAAGAGATGGTCACACCACAGGCTGAAACCCCACAGGCAAAAGAATGGATGACCCTCAGGCTGAGTAACAGGACTAGACAGGCAGTGCTGAAATCCTCTGTGACCATTCCTCTGAAAAACAGATATACTGCTGAGGGGGAGAATGGCTCTCGGGAAAACAGCAACAGCCAAATTCATGGCACCACTGTTCATTCAGCTACACACGTGACAAGCAAAAAATGTGGAAATTCAACAATCATAGGGGCTTCAATTATAAAGAGAATAGATAGACAACAAATGATATGCCAGAATGGTACATTGCGTTCCTGGTTTTAGGGTCAAGATGTCTCAGAGCAGCAGCAGTACATCCTTGAGGGGGCAAGTGAACAGCCAGTGGGTTGTGGTACACAATGGTACCAATGATATAGGATCGCATCCCTACTTTTTTTTTTAAGACGACTAAAAGCAGAATATAGGAAGCAAGCCAAAAACTAGGACCTCAAAACATTGGCCAAAAGATTTGTAATCAGCAAAGGTAGTGATCTCAGTGCTAGTGCCACATGCTACTTAGAGTAGGACTAGCAGGACATATTGAATGAACACGTGGCTAAAGAGATGGTGGGAGGAGGGAGGCTTCAGATTTCTGGGGCACTGGGACCAGTAAAAACTGGATGGGTTACATCTGGGATTAATACCCTAGGGGAACTATTTGCAAAAGTGGTTAGGGGAAGGTTTAAATTAGATTAGCAGGGGAATGGGAATCTATGCTAGAAGTCAGCCGAAGGACAAATACAAAAAAAGAGAAAAAGGGGTATAAGAGAAGTGATGGGCAGAATCAAGGGCCAGAATCAAGCAAGGCCAACAGTAAAAAGAAAACAGTGGGAATGGGACAAGGAACATTAAAAGGACAAGGCTTGTGCCCAAATGCATGGAACACACAAGACAAAGTAGATGAATTAATCATACAAAGAGATGTAAATGCGTAGTTGTTATTACAGAGAGACGGCTGCAGGGTGACCAGGGATGGGAACTGAACATCCAGGGTTAGCATTTAGGAAGGAAAGACAAAAAGGAAAAAAAGGTGAAGTCACATTACTGGTCGAAGAGGATATAAACACAATACTGAGGAAAGTCACTGAAAGTAAATGGACAAGTGCAGCAGGCAGTAAAGAAGGTAAACTGTATGTTGGCAACAGGATTCAAGTACAAGCACAAGGATGTTTTGTTGCAATTATGCAGGGCATTGGTGAACCCACACTATGTGCAGTTTTAGCCTGCTTATCTGAGGAAGGATGCTTTTGCTATGAATGGAGTGCAGCGAAGATTTACCAAGTTGATTCCTGGGATGGCAGAACTGACATATATGTGTAGAGATTGAGCCAGTTAGAATAGTGGTCACTGGAGTTTGGAAGAATGATGGAACTCCTCAGAAACCTATAAAATTCTATCAGGACTAGACAGGTTAGATGCAAGGAGTCGTCATAATGGTGACGGAGTCCAGAATCAGGGGTTATAGTTTAAGAAAAAAGGGGGTAAACCTTTTAGGACTGAAGTAAGGAGAAATTTCACCAGACAGTGATGAGCTGGGGGAATTCACTACCAGAAAAAGTAGTTGAGGCTAAAACATTGTGTTTTCAAGGAGATAGATATAGCTCTTGTGGCTAAAGGGGTCATGGGATATTAAGGACGGGTGGGGGAAGAGCACACAAGTGTCAGCATGTGAGAGAGAGCACAAGCACACAAGAGAGAGTAAGCAAAAAACTGAAAGCGCGTCATGGTATTGAGCTCAACGATCAGCCATGATCGTAATGAATGGCAAAGCAGGCTTGAGGGGTTGGCTGGCCTACTCCAGCTCCTATCTGCTATGTTTCTATGTTTCAGAATGATCCCAGTTTATGTCAGATACTTGAAGAGGAGAAAATGTGTATACAATTGCTTTCATTGCCTCAATTTAGATGGTTGATGGATCAACTGATCAAGATTAAATGGACTTGATAGGGTAGGTAGAGGGGGATTATTTCCTCTAGTAGTGGAATTCAGAATAAGGGACCGGATTAAAGCCAGGTCTTTAGGAGTGAATTCAGAACAGCTTGATTTTGAGAATCAAATATGGTGCAGCTCAATTACAGGACTGCCAAAAAGTAAAAGTAAAAGTTAATAACGTGAAACAGAACAATGATGCCCTGAAAACTACTCTCACAGACAGACCATTTCAGCAGTTCAAACTAATTACAAAATTACTTACTTGGCCAAATGTTCAAGGTCCTTTCGACTTAGCGGATTCCCATGTTTGGCCAAAAGATTTGTAATCAGCAACAGCCGTGTCTGTGGAAGAGGGCAACAGGGAAAAAAAGATGAAAGTTGCTAATCAAAACTCGTCAGAAATTGAACAAACACAAATTATGCCATGTACTGTTGCTGTACTCCTTAGTTGGAGAATTTATGCAGTGAACACAGGGAGAGAGGGCTAAATTAATGAGTTTAGTAACCATCTTTTATTAGAATTGATTGGTTCCCATAATCAAGAACATAAAATCTTAGGTATGTTTACTCCAACCCAGTACTCCGAAGCTAGCACAACTTCCTTCAATCAACGACATCACTTAAGGCTCACAATTCGTCCGTGTACAAACAGTTTTGTAAGTCCACATTATGCATTTTATTTTTAGACAAAGTGTGAAACAAGCTTGTGAGGTGAGTATGAAAACAAGGTTTTTTTTTTAAAAAATGAGTGATCCAATAGTTAAAAGGTCATCCTCATATTTAATAGCTCAATTACAATAATATGGTTGGTTAAAGGGTGAGCCAAACTTACAAGATGCCCAGTCTCGGAAGCCCTGGCATCCTGCAGTATATGAGGGGGTTAACACTAGTGCATATTGATAAATACATAATTTAAAATCAGGCTAAAATTTTTGCAATGCATTCACATACTTTCTCATTTGGAAGTGAGACGAACACCCTCTTTGTAAAACGCCTGTAGGTGAGAAGAATAGAAATGGATGGGTTATTTGAATAATTGCACAAAATACATAGAATTTTTTTTGTAATCTTGATCAAGGTACATTGTAGAAGACAAATTAACTCACCTAAATTAACTTCATTATAAATTCAAGCATTCATAACCTTAAGATCATAAAATGACTCCATGGAACAAGAAGCAAATTGATCTACCTGTGCCTACACTTTTAAAGTGCTACCCAATTAATACCATGCACCTGTTCATTCCCACAGGCCATCAAATTGGTTTCTCTTCAAGCTTGAAGTTATTTCTGAGGTAAGCACATTGGCATGGTACAGCCATATGTGGAAAACTGTACAATTGTGGCCACAATGTTACTACAAGAAGCTAGCCCAGACATTGTGGACAAAGCTGAATTCAAACTGAGACAAGAAAAGTTTCCTGATACTGTTCATCTTCAAGTAGTGTCCCTTTTGCATCAACTGGAGAGCGCTAATAAGGTCTTGGTTTAATGTCTCATTGGGAAGATAGCACTTCTGACTGTGCAGTACTCATTCAGTACTGCACTATAAACATCAGTTTGGATCCTGGACTAAGATCTTTCATTTTGACTTGAATCCTCGTCCATGATTCAGGTAGTTGTGTTACAACTGAGCAAAATGGAAGGCAATTTCAAAAACATGGACAATTCAGGAAACTGTATACTATTGTGCCTTGGTTTGCTTTAACATCAGAACCTACAGAAATCAAAAATGCAGCACAGAGTTTAATTTAATGTAAAAAGCAGCTTTGTTAGTTAAGTAGCCACAAATGAACATTTTCATAACCATATTTTGTTTGCTGTAATAAAAAGATCCGATGTTCAAACACCTACTGATAGACTCACAGGCTAAAGACAATTCATTCTCCTAGGTTCACAAATCACTTACAAATAGAGCCACAAAGTATCTAATGTTCACATTCTGCCAAGTTCAATGACTTGCTTAGCTGCAGGAGTTCCATATAAATCAGTGAAATGCATATTTAAAAAACATGGTATTTTGCCTAAATTTGGCATCCCTAGCCTCAGTGCAATACAGGCACACAACTTACCTAAGGACAGCTTCATCTAGCTCCTGTGGCCTATTTGTTGCACCCATTACTAAAACTCTGTCATCCCCACTGGACTGCACCTAAAAATAAAAAGGAGAGATCTTGTCAGTGATTTATACCAATATATTCAGAAAGTGTTTTTTTGAATGGGCATTAATATGTTTCTGGTGATGTCCATGACATCTGAACATAATTGGAACTTGGACTCTCCTAATTTGTCTTTTGTCACTACTTTCCAGTAGTGACGAGTAAAAGATTCATCCTTCCATACGTTAAATATTTGAAAAAAGGCTTGCTTGATATTTCCATTTTTAACTACTTAATGACACCATGGAAAGTAATATAGGATATTCGAGATTCAAAATCATTCAGTGAGTGCCCATGGTTTCTTCCAGGTCATCAGCGAATGATGCCAAGCACTCCATTGCTGAGGAGGAGGAGCAGGGGGACGAATGATAGATATATTTCCTATTAGTCAGATATAAATCATGGTGTTTGCTATGTCAGAATTCAAAGACTAATAGGTAAATTTCCTTTTAAAAGAACAGATAAGTTGCATTGGGAAGCCTCTTCAAATTGGTCTTGAGATATGCATGCTGTTGGCAATATTCAGTACTCATTCCTTGTTTCCTGAGGTAATGATGTTGGACCTTATTCTTAAACCAGTGGTAGAAATTTAATGCAATGAAGGAACTATTAGGTTACTTTAGAAAGCAATTAAGAGTCAGCCATGTTGGTGCAGGGCAGATATCACCTATACACCAGATCAGTCGCAAATGATAGGTTTCTTTCCCTAAAAGGAGATCAAGTAAACCATGATCATTTCTACTGATACCGGCTTTTTATTACCAGGTTTTTAAAAGCTCGGATATCACAAACTGGTGATATCAGAGATCTCATTTTCTGGATTACTTATACAGTAACACAACCACTACCACCCACTTAAACTCACTCCAGAAGAATAAACGTATAGCAATGATTGGCACTAACTTAAGGTTTGCTTTGGTCCACAGCATTGCAGGTGACAGGCAACTAAGAGGGTGAAATCACAGTAGTATCACATCAATCCTTTTGAAGTTCTACACACACCCCATCTCCATGAGAACAGCAGAGTCATAAAGAGGAGTTTCAAGGGTCTCTGGTTACACAGCGAACAGTTGATCCAGAGAATGTGACAAGGCCTGGACTAAAATATCAAAAGTAATTTTCAGAGGCATTGACCTGTTGCTCACTGGAACAATTTGTGAAATAGGGTCCCCGTCATAGATAATAGAATGAGACAGTACTGATTAATTTAAACAAAATTAGATAGATAATTCACAGAATTTCCTTTACTGGTTTATTCTTTTCTCATTTACTCCAAGTTTACAGCTATGGTTTGATTTTTCTTATTCTGATAAAGAAGTTTAAGTAGACCAATCCCTCCCTCTCATTAACTACACTGTCCGCACTCGTGGACTTCAGAGTAAAAATCCGGAGAGACTGTAAAACAGGCTGCAGTATGCCATACTGCACAAGCTAACTGGGAACAAAGAATAGATCCAACATTCAAAACTAGATGCTGCAGCCGGTGAAACTGCCTCTTGCGTACAATTTCTGTTGGGAAATAATGGAGTTTGTTCACCCTTTCCAAAGAGGAAAGGGAAAGTACCGTTAGAATTGCTTTCTTTTATTGAAGTCAGCAGTGTTTAAGTTGAAGGAGGTGCACTGAGGAGAAAAGGAATGGTTCTGATCAGAGATATCGGAAATCCCAATCCCAATCCCAAATAATGTGTAGGGTATGGTTAAGACATTGCCTTCCTCTAAAACGGAATAAAATGAGGCTGCTGCAATTTAGTTGGAAACACGAGACAGAGCGGTCTTTCAAGGATTTAAAAAATTCCACAACTGCAATAAGCCAACAATTTGAGAAATGAAAAGATGCTAGACTGGAAAATGAATTAAGCCCATTAATAGGGTCAAAGTTAAATAAACTGCATTTCACTATGATAATAGAGGTAACAAGGTGTAGAGCTGGATGAACACAGCAGGCCAAGCAGCATCAGAGGAGCAGGAAGGCTGACGTTTCGGGCCTAGACCCTTCTTCAGAAAATTTTCTGAAGAAGGGT